ATGGGTGTTCTTGCAGTAGATATTGCTCTGTGGAGGAGATCCAATCTGCCCATGCCTGCGTCTTCTCGTTGACAGGGATGTTGTAGAGACAGAGCTCATATGCTTCGGATTGAAAAGTGGTCCATGGTCGGAAGTCGATGTCCGGCACTGGTGGCAAAGGCGGGTAGTACTGGATTTGTCTGAACTCCTTTGTGGCTGCATCTATGTCCAGGTGCAGCGTCAGTAGTGCATGTGGACGCCATGGTACTGCCCAGTCAGTGGTGAGGGCAGTGGTGCTTGAGAGAGATGTGTGTATCAGGCTGAAGTCAATGACGTTGCCGGAGAGCATGCTGACATCAGGTGCCAGGATGTCAAAGTGGAACTTGGATGGCAGTACTGTGCTGGAAATGGCACTGGGTTTATTCTGCCAATCTCCGATGAGTATGAATGGATGTGTGGTGGCCTGCAGCAGGGCTAGGAGCTTGGAGATAATGGTGGCATTGATCTCACTTTGTATGCCCTCGTTGGTGCGGAGGTAGATGCCTGCAATGAGGATTGTCAGGTCGGTGGCCTGCCAGAGGAAGGCTTGGTAGCCACAGCCGTGGAGGGTGAAGGCTTCAACAGGGGTGAGGCAGCTGGAGGGGTCCCCGAGGACCAGGATGCCTCCATGAGTGCCTGTATTGTCACTGTTGGGCCAAGCTGGCGTGCCAAAAGCTGTGCGGCCTCGGATGGTATAGTACTGGCACATCTGTTCGTGTTGCTGTGGATCAAGATGCGTCTCAACGAAGATGTAGGGTTCGCTGGTTCGTGTCCAGTACCAGTCGGTGACCTGTCTGCCGAAGTTGGTGATGTTGGCATAGTGTATTTTGTTATGTGTTTGCTCCAGCCTGGGTTTCTTCTCTGGGCTCGGGTGGAGTGGTGGATCAAAGTCTGGCTCTTCTGGCGGTGGCAAACGCTGGATGATCTGTTGTGTGGTGGCGAAAGTGTCAATGTGTACCGCCCATATCTGGACCACTTGACTGGCCAGTTGTGGTGTCAAGTGGGGTAGGTGTGTCGGGACTTTTCCATCATCTGCTAACCAGAGAAGGTCGCGGTAGATGAGGATGGCAAAGTAGTGTCCCGCTTCATGGTTTGGTCCTCGATGGCAGATCAGTGCTGCCGGGACAAACTCCGTGGATGCTCTGGCGAATCCATCCATGGAGCGAGGTACCGTGAAGGTGCCATATGGGTTCAGGACCTTCTTGCGCTTGGTGGCTACCCCGTCAACAGTGGTGTTGCGGGTAATGTGGGTGACCAGGATGGCTTTGTCATCGAGCAAATATTGTCCAAGTCCTTCATTGGCCCAACCGTTCATCAGTGACTGGACGGTGGTGTTTTCAGGCCAGTCATGTGGAAAGTCAACCAGCAGCGGAACTTGAACATGATCAGCAAGGTAGCCTCCGGCCTTGATCTCCGCATATCGGTAGTGGAATGCTCGGCTCTGGGACAGGTTCCATAGCGTGTTCACGAAGTGGTTGGCGTCTCCTTGGACATTGAGGTCATGTTTTGTCCAGAGACGATGCAAACCTGGTAGCTGTTGGATGTCCACTGCGTCTGCCAGTTCGAGTGACTCTTGAACTGCTGCATGCAGAGTGCCCCAAGGTTCAGTGTGCGTCTCTTGGAGGAGCCCGCATGTCCATGTGAAGGCTCTCCATGGTGCATTGGCAAAACACCGAGAGCTGGGATTTCCGATGGCCATTGACAGGTTTTGAAGTATGCATTCTGTTGTGGATGCATATGTGTTTTGCATCCTGGGATGTCGTCCTGTCGTGGCGTACTTGGTCTGGATGTGGTTGGCTCCACCCTTGATGGCAATGATGTGGTCTCCAGGTGCCCCACTGGAGAGTCCATCCACGGGTGTGGCCGGTGCGGTGGTACTATCAAAACTGTGCATCTGCTTGTGGGATGCTTGTGTTCGCAACATGTTGGTGGTATCCCCTGCACCATATGTTGTCTGTCCCTCGGTTGGCAAAATTTGTTCCTTCCTGTCATAAGGTGACTTGTCCCCTGCACCTTGGAAGGAAATCCCTGGCTGGATTGAGCCGGATGCAGCACGGCAAACCGGTGATTGGTGTGATGCCTCGAAGTCTTCCCAGGGAATTGGCACCTGAAACGCTGGGAGGTTTTGTTCGAGATGGGGACTGTTACCCACACTGTGTCCCTGGTAGGATGGGTGTGGAGTCAGTCTTGCGGCGCTTGTGGATGTCCTCATCATCAGCCGGTGGGCGTTTGAGGAGTCCATGGAGTTGTGTCCGTTGATCTTCTGTCAGGTCAATTCCCAAGCTGGTGACAAAGGTTTCAACTGCCATAGGAATGGGTAAGTCCTTGGTGTTCTCACCCTCGAGTCCTTCAGGCATGGGAGTTTGGGTGACCTTCATGTACTGGTCGGATAACTGCTTGAGTTTGGTTTGGCCTTCACTCAATCTGGTTTGCAAGTCTTGCATGTCCTGAAGCATAGCAGCATACTGTGACTTGATCTGGTCCAAACGAGACTGGAGTTGGTTTTTCTTGATTGAGGCCGTCTTCAGTTCGCCTACTTGTGCCTTCAGCTTGTTGGCCAGCTCTTTTTCGGTGTCGGGCATGGGCTGAGTCAGTTTCGTGACTACTGCCTGCACCTCTTGAGGGAGAGCAGTCATGTGGCTCTTCAGAAGCTCTGTGAGTTCAGGTTCTTCTGGAGGAGGTGGTCCATAGCCTAGGGTGGTAAGCTTGGCCTGAATGGCCTCTGGGATGACGCTCCATGTACTGGCAATGAGTTCAACAGCTGAGGCTTGCTCTTTGCTTTGCTTGAGAGGACGAAGCCGTGGTAATCCTGGTGGAGTATCCAGGGCTGGTTGAGCTTGGTGGCGACGAAGCCAGGGTTGAGCTTTCTGTGCCGCTCGAGGTTGTCCATGGCCCTGCCCTTTTCCTTTTCCAGTGGCTGTCTGCTGCTGCCACCATGCGCCACATTTCCTGCAGCGGGTGCCAGGGCGTAGCTTGTCTTCCCAAATCCAATTTCGGCACTCTGTGTGCCTGCAGGTGACATAGTTGCGTCCCCACTGCATGATCACCGCTCCGTTCGGGATCTGGCTGTAGCGCTCGACAAGGGTGGAGGCCGGTAGTACACAATCTCCCCAAGGCCGTAGGAGATTGTAGAGGATGTTTGACAGGCTTGCCTCCAGGTTGAAGAGAGCGAGAACTGCCAGCCACCGAAGAGCAAGACAGAAGCGGTGTTGGAGTACACGGGATCACGGGCAATGGACGGTGGTATGTCACCTTCTCCCTGGGCCGTGCTTGGTGTGCTGCTCCAGGATATGTTCGCCTGGGGGTGCCGCGCTAGGAGGGCTTGATGGGCTGCCTCCTTGAGCACTCGTGGCCTTGAGCCAAAATGGCTACGGATGCATGTATGCATGTATGCATGTATGCACGTATGCATGTATGCATGTATGGATGTATGGATGTATGGATGTATGGATGTATGGATGTATGTATGTATGTATGTCTCTCTCTCTCTGGCGAATCTGGCTGTCAATCAGCCGACACTGGGCTGGTGAAAACAGAAATGTTCTGCACACGTATGTGTGTGTGTGTATTAGTGCTGTGTTATGTTATGTATGTATGTTGGTATGTTGGTATGTTGGCGTGTGGGTATGTACAGTATATATATGAACTTGTGTGGTGTGGGATGGCATGGCATATACGTACGAATGTATGTGAACGCGCATCATCCATCGTCTGAACCATCTAGCCCGGTAGCCTTGGCCCGGTAGCCATGCTTCAAGACTGCGAAGGCAACGATCTCGCAAATGAGCTGCTGCGCAAAGCACACCTCCAAGGCACACCAAATGGTCGCGCCGAGGGGTCTCGTTCTGTCAGGGCCCATCCGAAGCCAGGCGCAGTCTTTTCCATTCGCTGCTGCACTTTTCGACGAGTCTCTGAGCACATGGGCTTGCCATAAAACAAAGGCCCGAACCAATAGGCTGGCTAGATGGTTGAGAAGTGTGCTTTCCTTCTCTTCTGCAGTCAGGTTGGGCGGGCTCCCTCATATTGATACATGTCTTAACTTGTGATCGACCATCAAGGCAACACCTGATGCCCTTCGGGTGTCAAGCCATCGCTTAGAGTTTGGGCTCCAAGCCCACCTAATTTGGGGTCTAGGTCTAGGCCTACCAGTTTTCACTCGGCCCGTCTACTGTCCCAGACCAAGCCTGTGGCGGGGAGCCAGCTTTTGGTGGCTTCTCCCTCAAGGGCGACAGGATGTCATCCATCGCACCCTGCTCGTAGAAGACCTCCAGGCCTCGATTCTTTAAGCGCAAAGAACGTTCTTTCATGAATTTCGAAGTGCCTGCAAAAGACCAAACGGAACCTATGAGACCAAACTGGGCGTCCAGAGTCCAAACACTATGTCCTTTAGACGAAGGAAAGCCCAACTGCCAAAGGCCCCATCGACTTCAGACAAACCCAAATCGAGGATGCTGGATGCTCCAAATCATATTCTTAAAGAGCCCAACTTGCAAGTTTGTGGGCTCCCGACGCTTGTCCTGCTCCTTGTGCTCCAAAGTGGCTGGATCTAAGACGGAACCTTGGCCCAATCGCCACCCTGAACAGTTGCATTTCAGCATATTTCAGCCACCTTTGACGAAGTGAAAGAAGCCGAACAAAAAACAATTTGGAGTGAACAGGCCAGCGTCAACAGTTCAACCCCAACCTTTATCACCATGACAACTGCAAACTCCGAAGCCAGCGATCCAAGCCCCTTGCGAAGGATCTCTGCGATTTGGCCCTGCACCCCCTGCACAAGGTTGTGATGAGGTTCAGCAGAAGCGGGGAAGCATGTCATCTATATCGAGTGGAGGAGCATCTCAAACGGAACAAGTGCGACAAGGAAAAAATAGAAGCGAGAAACTATGGTGGGCAGCATTCCATTGACCACTAAGCCAAGTCTTGTCTCTCATGAAGTCAAATCCAAGGTCATGCATGCACACACTTCAAGGTGTGCGTTTTTTCTCTGGCGCGGGCGCTCGCGATGCAAAGTTTCCTAGGCCTTTCAAAACCACTTGGTCTCGCCTGGGTGCGTTCAAGGCAAAATGCACAAATCCAAAGTTTGGTCATCTGTTATTGCCAAACCTTCTGAACAAAGGTCCTCCATGCCACGAAGTGGGCATACCAAACAAGGCTTTGCTATGCTTTGCTACTACGCACGTTAGAGAAGCAATGCTTAGTGTCCATCCAAGAATCAATGGTGCCGTTCGGACCTGTTCCACCTTCATCTATATAGAGTGCGTCCAGTGAAACGTTGCTTCAGATCAAGCGTGTTCTGCACACGTTTAGCAACTCTCAAGTTCAAGCCTCTCGCACATGGAAACATGCCCGGTATGCTTCAATATTCTTGCAAATATGTGTGCAAACACTTGGACCTGGGAGGCCCGGCCTGTGCTGAGGTTTTGGAGGTAAAACTTTCCCGGGTATTTGGAGCTCTCGCGGCGTTCCCACTGGTCTGCAGGCTTCTCTCGTGGAGGAGGAGTCCATGTAGTCTCGTGAGTCTTTGTGTTGATGTAGTAGAACCTTGCATGGGCGGGGCCTCTTCTGTCACACACCAGCACCACTTCAGGAAAATTATACCGGCATAGACCCCAGATAGCATTTCAAGAAAAAGTTAGACACCATCGCAAAAGCGCTTTTCAGCAAATCTTTTCCAGCCCTGCGTAGTTCGCAGTTGGAAAGTACTTTGCAGAAGGCTCCCAGCCAAAGGCGAAATCATGAAGGGAGACAAGATTGGGAGACAAAGCGGCAGCGGTACAAGAGCGAAATCATGAAGGGAGACAAGCTCGGAAGACAAGCCGGCAGAGGCAGCCAAGAGCGAAATCATGAAGGGAGACAAGTTTGAGAGACAGCGCGGCAGCGGTAGCCAGAAGCGAAAGCATGAAGGGAGACAAGCTTGGGTAGACAAGGCGGCAGCGGCAGCCAAGAGCGAAATGATGAAGGGAGACAAGCTTGGGAGACAAGGCGGCAGCGGCAGCCAAAAGCGAAACCATGAAGGGAGACAAGCTTGGG